AATCTGCTAATCAGTTCTGCAGTTTTCTGCAGTATTTTACAGCTTTGCTTGTGTTTTCCTGGGGTTTTTTGGTACTTTGACAAATGTCCTCAAGTTTCAGCATTGCCTTAGTGACTGTTGGCATCATTACTTCTGTGTGCCAAATTCTCAGCTGAGAATTAGAAAAAGGTCCATATCTTGAATAATTTAATTCATCAAGAAATGACATGTTTGTGCATCTCTCCTTCACTCTCTCTCCCTCCCTACATTCCCCCCATCTTTTTATTTTTCTTTTCCCCCTTTTTTTTGGCTTATTCTATGATTTTTTCAATGCTCAGTGTTAGCAGTGTGGTTCACTGTGAACAAAAATGTTAATAATTTCTTAAGGTTCCTTTCCAGGAGTGAGGTCTGAAAACTGGAGCAGTTCCATTTTTGATGCACACAAGATACTGTGCAGTTACGCTTAGAAGCCTTCTTTAATTCTGAATAAACATCTCAGCTGCATTGTGTTTACCCAAGCTGATAACTGTTTATTGGGTAATATATTACTTACAAACACATACCACCAGGATGTGTAATTTCGCAATTGAATTGGTTACCAATGCTTTTATTTTACTTCCAATATTTTATCCAGAAGATTAAACAAATCTTTTAAACCATATTAAGATATGGTTGCTAAATTACATCGTGAAAACTATTTTGGCTTGAGCAAAAATATGAAGCGCTAAAACAATTAACTGCTGTAGTTGGCAGTCTTAATATTTGAGGCCTTGTGTACATTTATTGTATGAGCAGGCCTTTAATAACCTGCACTTACTTGTTTACACATCTTTCAAAGGCTTTGCTTTTACCCTGATACATGAGATATTTTACCTGAAAGCGGGAAAATAAAATTGTTTGAAGGGTGTCTAAAAGTTAGAGGGTTTGGTGGAGTTTTTCTGGTGGGATGTGTTGCCTTGACTGTTTTGCTTCCTTTGGTCTTGAGATGAGACTAGTTAGTTAGTTATGTTATCAGAGAGAGGAAGAATTCCTTTCCAGACTTCACATGGTAGTGCTAGACTCCTTTTTTCACTCCAGCCATTGGAACTTGTGTAGAAACCAAAAGGTCCCAAACCGGTTTGTTTACTTGAGCACAGCAAAAAGGAATACTTTCATTGAGTGTTAGCTGTTGTAAAAGCTGATTCTGCTTAGAAAATAAAAAGCCATTGCATTGCAAGTCTCATCTTTAATGTGTGCTATGATTCCTTTTTCTTATTCTGTGCTAAGAATAAAAGCATAGAAATGAAGACCTTTCTCATTTCATAGAAATTCAACTACTGCTTTTGCTCATTTGTTCTCTCATGGAAGTTAATATTTTCTGCGTCTGCCATTACTATCGTTTCTTCTGGGATCTCAGAAGTAGGCTGATGGCTTTAGATGTGGAATAAGCAATAGAAACAGGTGAATTGAAGAACAATTTTCTTTCCATAAATGTTTGGTAATAGAGGGAAAAGTGCAGTTAAAAGGCAATCTAGAGAAAGAAAAGAAAATGTGTTAAGGTTTTCTGTACACTGCCTTTAAAGCAGGTTGTTTACTTTACTGAAATACAGTTATTTTAATTGCTTTGAAAAAGGCATGCATAGAGAAACATAGTATTGGATTTCTTTCTGTCATCTTTGTTTATCAAACAATGGATATCCTTTCTCTTTCTTTCAAAAGAATATGGAAAAAACTGACACGTAAGTTTGATTTTTTTCCTGTTGTAAAAATACTGCCTGAAATACAGTTTTATTACCTTAAAATCTAAATTTATATTGTTATTATCTCTTACATGGAGTAGCAGCTTACACAGGAATTTCATTCTTAATAGTCAAGGACTGACGTATGAATGAAATCCTCAGAGATATTTATACATGCTCGAAGGAAAGAATGACTCAATGTGTGGAATTATGGCCCAGTCTGAAGATAAAGTGCCCCATGAAAGTGCACAAAAATACACAAAATCCTTGATCGTTGGTGTTCAGCCAAGATTAACATAGCTGTTCTCACAGGAGCTAACCACATGCTAGGGCACTGCTTTCCGCTCTTTTTTCAACTTTTTCACATCATGACATAAATGACTAAAAAATATGGCAGCATATAAACAAGCCGTCGTGATTGATTTCAAAATGATTGCAATACTCTGCAAGGTCAGACAGTTTGAGATGGGTTAGAAACTTCCTTTTGTGTTTTGAATTTCAGAAAACTGGAGGTAGAGAATGGAAAGTGGGGGCTTTCCTAAAGTTAGACTTTCTGTGTTCTTACAAAAAGGAGTGACTTTATCGCCCCAAAGTTTTTCACGGTGAATGATGGAGATGGTGGTATCAGACAGCGGTAAACCTTTTCTGGAGGAAGAAAAAGAGGGCTATGTTCTTCATACGCTCTGAAACACACTTAACATTGCTGTTCAGCACAAGCTGGAGGGAAGCCCCTTTCAGGAGGAGAGGTGGTGGTGTGCGGTTCAGACCCCGCACAGACTGCGGTACTCGCAGGGAAGAAGGACAGATGAACCCAATTCGGCCAAGGGAGAATCAGGAAATCTGATTTGGAGCATCTCAGAAAATTTGCCAAGGGAAGGAAATTCGAAACAGTCAGATCTGAAGATTCCCTGTTCCTCTTTAAAGCTCGATGCCAGAAAGGAGCATGCAGGGGATTTGTGGATACGGAGTGCAGGTTTATAGATAAAAGGATCATTATGGGCTTTTTCAGTTGCTCTTTCCTTCCGTGCATAGACAGTGCATATAGAGTGTTTTGCCTACAGCAGTAGGGTATTTTAATGCTGCAGGTATGCTGTGCACAGAGTACCTGTACTCCTGATCAAGTGCTGGACAGCTCCTAAATTGTGTACAAACATTGCAGTGAGGACTTTCACAAGGCCTGGCGTAATACAGGAAGTGCTAGGAGTTCTGTTTCTTCTTTTTCTGAGATAATTGCTACAACTTGCAATTGTTAAAAACTGTGATCACCGCTTTTTTTTTTCCAGGAAAATTCAGTTAAGTCAGTGCTTTGGTAGGTGCTCATATTTTCAGAAAAGATCTATCGTCTCCCAGATTGCTAATGAATGGCCAAGCAACTGTATACATGGTTAACAAAAGTGTCTAATTGCCACAGTCAGATAGAGCTGCCATGTAATTTATTGCTATTCTGAGCATCTGAACACCAGGAGAATGATAAACTGTGACAAAGCCTTATGAGATTGTTAGTTTAAGCAATTGCTTGCAGTGCTCTGTTTTTCTCTCTAGTAGGTGATCTTCCCAACATTTCCTTGCTTTGGCAGGAAAGGAGAGTTGTACCCCCTGACAGTGTGCAGCAGTTTTCAGCCTAATAGACCTCCCCAAATCCTTGTGCATGAGAAATTGCTTCCTGTGTTTGTATCTCCATAGTGGGTTAGAAAGGGATGTTGTGTTTTCCTGAATACACTAAAGAAACATAAATTTGGCCACTGCATGTGTCAGTCAGACATATATCTGGACCATATATTGCTTTTCAACGTATGTGTAAAGAACCAGTGTGTTGAGCAGACAGTGCTGGAAAGGAAGAGGTGCATAGTGTGGGTACTGGGTTATTGAAGAGGTTACAGGAATTTAGAGAAAAGCTCTTTGTGAGTGAGGGACTGGATGAAAAAATAATGTGGGAGATGGACCCGAACCACTGGCTCGTGGAGGCTTAACGCAGTAGCCAGCCTCGGTTGCAAGGTAGTTTCAGCAAAATTGTCATTCTCACTTGACAAGTAAAATCCCAAGGCTCCCTGGAATAAGCAGTAGTAGTCAGAGTAAATACCAAGCAAAATGTTATGATTCTGCTTATCAATTTAAGGGTAAGATCTGCTCCATGCAGTGTAGGGGGACTGAGAGCCTTGTTCAGTGCCCAGTTTTCTTAATTAACTGTCTTTATCTGGAAATGAACGCAAAACAGGTTCTTGGGCTTTCTCACTGTGTGTGTTATTATGTTGCCTGTAGACAGTCATGGCCTTTTTCAAATCCATATCCCTTTGACAGTGGTAAATTCACGTGTCACTACTCGTGAGTAAGTAGACAACAGAGATGAAAAATTATGCTAATGAACTGAAATAACCAATTTCTTGTAGAAGAGCTCTCGTACATGGATTCTGAAATATTACAATGTCTCATAGAGCTTTTGGTTGCTGAACCATAGCAGAGTTAAGCACAACCAGCAGTTAAATGCAGGTTTATACTTAGAAGAGGCTCTTTGGAAGAAAATAAAGGGTGTGGGTAAAATTGTTAAAGCATTAGATAAAGATCTCAGTTACCATGGTTATGTGAATATTTCGCATTGTGTCATAGATTAGGATGCATAAGATGAAGTAGCCAAAACAACTAGGAAGTCCAGTGCACATGAAGTACATTTCCAAAACACCCAGTATTGCCAAAGAGAAAGACAAAGAGCTCGACATATTGACTACTGACACATCTGTGAATCAATACAGCGAGGCCAGGAGTATATTTGAATGTGTGTGACCTGAAATCCCCTGTTATTCTGGAATTACAATTTCATATCTTAAAGAATGATGAAGAAAAAAGAAAAATCTGTAATAGCGTAAGGAGTGGAATGATTTTCCCTTAGCTCTTTCTGGTCCTGGAATCTGACATTTGGCTTTGAGACCTTCAACAAAGCAGGCTGATGAAACATGGATAATACATTTCATGCACTTAGGTTGGCAGTGGCACTTACACTGGAAGCAGTTTATTCCCATGGAAACCCATTTGCATTTGGGCCAGAAGTGACTTTCTTCCCCCTCCGCTAGAGCTCCTGATGTTTTAGCATAATATAATTGCTCTATATTGACAGCAGATTTGAAAAGTATTTTTAAAATGTTGAGTAGATGAGCATATGTATAATGGAGATGTAGTCTGTGCAGCTTTTTGTGTAGGATGGAGGCATGTTACTGAGAAACATAGAGCAGCTTCTAATCTTCTATTATTTATCACAGAAAGAAGGAGGATGAAATAAAACATGTTTATCCCAAACTATTTTTTAAACAGGTTACAAAAGAACTGAAACAGTATGACAATAAAATTATAGAGTGCAAGTTTGAAAACAACTGTTGGGTCTTCATGAGGCAGAGAATAGACAAGAGCTTTCCAAATGCATACAGCACTGCCATGGGTGAGTAGAATAACTTTGCTTTTCAAGGCTTTTTTTTTTAGATTCCAAGTTTAACTTCTTAACTGTGTATGAGCTTAAGGAGGAAAGGTGTTCTGCATTCTCACACCTGTTCTGAGTCCTGGTGTATGTAACTTACAAGACTAGGTCCTCACTTTCCAAAGGCTTATGTCATGTTCAGAGTATATATACCATGAGTGCCTTGGCTTGAGCAGGATTGTTTAATGAAACCAGTTAAGCAAATACTCAGAGGCAGTATTTCAAAATTAATCGAGAAACAAGTACCTGTGTCTTTGCAGAACTGCAGATGCTTATTTGGACAGATTTTTAAATGGTAGGATATGTCTTTTAAATGAGATTCAAGAACATCCTTATTTGCAATAGCCCTGCAATATTAGTTAACTGAGAAAGCTCTATTCCTAGTGCTGGGCTGGCTTGTACTGATGTAATGCAAACGGGCATTGTGCCCGTTTGAACAAAAAAATCTATGGTGATTTCACCCCTGTGCAAAACACCAAAAGCATTATTTGTCAGGTGGAATAGAACATGAATAGAGAAAATAATGTCATCTCAAGTCCTAAAATAGTATTTCTAGCAAAGTAGAAGGAAGGAAATGAAGGATGCAGGCATATCCCTATACAAGTGTGATACTTCTGTGTTCTCCTGCAGAAAAACATTGGTTTAAATTCTGCAAATAAAACACTGTTGGTTGACTAGGCTGAACAGTATTGTTTAGTGCCAAAATGAAGTTTAATCATATTTAAGACCTGCTGTTTACTAGGACTTGTGTATATAATGTACAGGATTTTTTTTGTAAGCCATTTTACCACTTGCATTTCTGTCTGAGCAGTAAGTAGTTTTCCTTGAAGAAATAAAATACAGTTATTTGGTCAGGTGACAACCTGCTGTAACCTTTGGGCACCAACTTGGAATCTATTTGAAATGCTTTCTGAACTGTCCTGGCTGAGGAAGAGGAATGGGCCACAAAACTTACAGAAGTACAATGACTTATTTTTGCCATCAGGAACTAAATCACTCTTCACCTTATTACTTCAGTAGTTTTTCCTTGGAGTTTTCTCTTCTGAGTAGTATTCTTTTCTCCTTACTTTATTTTAGGGGCAAATGCAACTGTCCATTTTATCCTTTTCTAGAGCAGTTGAGATATTATTCTTGTTCTTTTTTTCCCAGCAGAATGATATCAACTTCCTAAAGAAAAATGCCCCTGGAAGAA